TCATCATTTTCAGTATTTGTGTTTTTCCAACTGACCATAGCAACTGACCATTATTTTGTAATTGAGATGAAAAACCGTACGAGTCGCAGATATGTACGGTTTTTCACCTAATTTCACGGGTATAATCAGCTGTACTACATTAACAGCTAGGTATCTAGTACGGTTTTTAAGCTCAATGCGCTAGTTCAGTGTGATGTCATTTTGGTTCGACTGTCATTTAATTCTAACCAAACTTTTAACAAAAACATCAATAAATTTGACATATACGTTTTTACTATTTTTATTTTATTTCAAAATATTGTTTACAGGTCATAAAAATAGTTATATAATTGGTAACTAAACGATTGTATATTTGATACATGCTATCTACTTACTTTAGGAATATATTTATAAAAGTGAAAAAAACGATATAAATTAGGTAAAAAAAACGAACAAAACGGACTCCGAAAATCTACTGTCACTTTAATTGTCAGTGGAACCATAATTATTACATCATCACTGAACTAGCGCATCGATGAAGAGACAAATTTTAAACGAAATGGCTTATTTTGAAATGTCAAATTTGAGACTTGTACGGTTTTCGAACTCACTAGTTCAATTGCAGAACACTGTTTGCAGTGAATCTTTTTCTTTAAGGATTTTACTATAAAACCAGAAATATAAGCAACTACATCCTGAATGTATTCGCTCAGAAAATATATAGATAGGTAATCATGGTCACGAAGCTCATTTGTAAATTCCAAATTTTCTTTAGTGTCTGATTCGTAACATTTTAAATTTAACGCAATTTGGCTACTAGTGTTGCTACAATCGAAGATGCTGGTGCCATCTAAAGCAATTGCATTGGCAGTTTTATTTGACTTTACTTCATTATGAATTAATAATTTTTTATAACAATTTTGAAACAATCTCCATGTGAGATTGTTATTGAAGCATCTATTACGAACTGCACTAAAAAAAAGTATTTTATTTTCTTCATTTTTCGCCTCTTCCACTACCTCTCCCAAAATTCTGTAAAATGTGATGATTACTGTATAATTTTAGAGCTTACATATAATAAAAATACCCATAATAAATACTGTACTTACTTGATAGGTATAGCATTATGTTTTAAGATGTGTCTACCACTTAAATTTTCATAAATATCTGCCATACAAAAATGGTCAGAACATATACTAAGGCTTCTTTCATTTTCATAATGTTTTCCTCCACCAAGCATAGATTTTGCATCCAAATTCCACGTTGAATAATTTCTCTAGGAAACCTGATCAGAAAATATAGAACATTATTATTTAAATAAACAATGCTAGTGCTAAATGCCTTTACACTGTTAAATAAATTAAGCCTTATTCCCTGTATATGCCTACGTCTATGCTAACATAATCTTATTTATGAAATGACCGAATAACATTCTTATTCTGCGTATTTCGGCACACTATACATTTCCTCCCCATCGTAAAAGTCCTTAATAAAAAGTTTAGGGTTTAAATTATTCTTGAAAACTACAAAAAACCACAAAAAACACAATAAAACTTGATCTGTCACTTTGACAACATCAGCAAAATGTCTTAGGTTGCCAAAGTTAAATGATTTATATCAAAATGTTTAATATTCCCATATGATACACATGTAAAAATAGATACTTAAAAGTCTTAAGTGATTGCAATTAAAAAAAACTCATATTGATGCTTTCAATTCTTTATTTCCTTTTTTTATTAGATTGTATTAAAGGTAATAGTAACTTTTTAAATAAAAATTTAATGTTTGATATTTGATGAAAGAGACCTGACAACATAGGAAGAGCGTACCGTCAAAAAAAAGTTACGGACAAGTGTAATGTATACAAGGCGTATCTATTATCCGATATCTTTGGTAGATTCTCCCTTATCTATGGTTTCTCTGTCTTTTACGTCATTCAGACAGAACACAGGCTGTCAAGGTTTATCAAGTATAAATAAGAGATTAGGTAATCTCTGGTATAAATTTTTAATGAACGTTCTTACAACTAGCTTCTTATGTTTTAAAAACATATAATTTCATTCTTAAACAGCCCCTGATACATTTCAAACTTTGTGATACATTTCAAACGAACAATTTTCCGTTCCGTTATTTAGTAGCCATTCTTGTAGGTTAGGTTGTACTGTACAATGTTTACTCCTGCAAACTTCTGTAAAGTTTTCAGATATATTTATATTTCACACAAAGACAACCAGCAACTACTAACAAAAGGGGCATTATGAGGGTCTTTGTTGTATAGTATTTTCGACTCACTTCAATCCTTCTAATATCCAACGTTTTCATTTTGAACAAAAGAAAATGCCTTTCACCAATCTCCGTCAGTCGATCCTCTTTTTAGGCGAGCAGTGGCGTAGGCATGAGTGTTCAAAAATTGTCAGATTTATTATTTCAATACAATCAATTCTGTTATTTAAGATCTTGTACATAAGCCATGTACAAGGTTCTGACAATATGTGGATTTTTTTAGTTCAAAACAAGATCTGAAGATAAAACTTAATTGTCTGCGTGCCTTATTAGCTACATTATATATATATATATATATATATATATATATATATATATATATATATATATATATATATATATATATATATATATATATATATATATATATATATATATATATATATATATATATATATGCTTATCAAAAATTAATTTTGCTTCCAGAATAATACCTAGATCTTTAAGATTATCTTCACGGTGAAAGATGCAATTAGAGATAGTATAGATATTGATTAATTCATCATTTCCGCGAGAAAATTGTATATAACTACATGAAGATGTATTTAAAAATAAGTTATTTTGCCGACAATCATTTGGCTATCTATTCAAATCATGTTGGAGTAAAACTCTCTCATTGGGACATGATATTGAGTGAAATATTTTTATATATCGTTGATATATAGATTAAAGAGTAGAGGTCTTAAGTGAGACCCCTGGGGTACTCCAGAAGTGGTAAAAACGGGATTTGACTTGAAATTGCCTAATGTTACTTATAATCTATTTTAACTGTTGATGGAAAAAGAATATAACCAATTAATTTTTGTGTTTGTTACAGAATGCCCGCCAGCGGACGATGGCATGGAGAGGTTCGCCTGTCCGACGCCCGACAGACAAGGGAGATATCACTGTATCGACGACCACGTCCTTTGCGATGGATTCATAGACTGTCCGTCTGCAGAAGACGAAGATCGACAGTCGTGTATGTTCTATAAAACGGTAAAGCAACACTTTGATGCAATGCAAGAACACTACCTACACTACATGATTAAAAGACACGTACACACACATTTTAAAAATAATGTTATAATGTAAGTCTTCAATTAGCTTTTCCTGTTCGTCTATCTTCATCAGTTTTTCATTTTTGGTTGAAGTAACGCGCTGTGTAAAATATTAGATTGGATATTATTAACTTCTTTTCGTTTTCTTACCATTTTATATTGAATGGGGAACCAATAGCACATATTGAGAAAGTACTAACTAATCTTAACTTTTATACCTTTGATAGGTGGTAAATCATAATCATTAAATAAAGGGCTAAAACGAGGTTTTCATTGAACATAAAATAGCCACAAATGTATTCATTTATTTACAATAAATGAAGATATAGGTCCAGCTCAAAACTTCTTTTTAAATGAGAAGACTTGTCCAAAATTACGATTGCAAATGCATGCTTTGGTTTGGTACGAAAATATGAAATGTGGTGCTCGAAGTGATATGTATGCAATGTGAGACGCAAAAGCCTATTTACACTTTTTAATATTATGACGTCAGTAGCTTGGCTTGAGTTAAACACCATTGGCTAGAATTGGCAGTAATGTCAGGCATGGTCGGTGTTTTAAGTTGATTAGCTAGATCAGCAAGATCTGCAAGAATTTGACTCTTATTTTCGAATGAGAGCTTTGCTGCAATAGAGAGATGAAACATGATACTATGTTTGTTAAGTTTATGTGATTCACACCACGTACAAGTCAACGTTTTCGAGTTGAACAATATTTTGACTTTACAACTAGTTACGAATTTCTGTTGTATTTTTAAAAAGTGGATGATTTTTTAAAGGTTGAATTCTTGGTATGCACCATGATTGGCGATGCGTTAGTGACGTCAGTGTTTAAATTCTGACAGATATTTATACATAAACAAAAGAGGATTATACCTAAAAAGATTGGCGATTAAAGATAGGGAGAAACAAAACAAACTATGTATCGAAATGGTATATTTATTGAAACTAACTTTTTTGACATCTGCAATTGTTAAGAAAGTTTTACTTACAGTCTTTGAAAAGACAATAAATTACTACGGTGATGTGCTCAAACTTCGTCTTCATGCGATATGACCTTCATGTTCATTCTTTCTGCAATATTCAAATCAAATAACACATCATCAAAATTTAATTAGATGTAGGGGAGAGCGGGGCACAGTGGCCATTTTTTTTTTTTTTTTTTTTTTTGAAACAGATGCATAATTATCAAACAAACAATTCAAAATTTTACACAGGGTCTATTGGAACATAAGATTGTTATTTATTGCAGCAAGTATTTATTTAAATAACTCTAGGTATTCAGAAAAAATGTTTTTCTTACATGCAAAAACTGGCCACTGTACCCCACAATCAGGGGTGGTAAAGTGAACATAGTCGTGGGGTACAGTGGTCACACCTATTATATACACCATAACAAAATGTAGATCAAATGAAACAAAAAAACAGCTGGTTTGTTGTAATATAAAAACATAGGTGTTATGCTACATTAAAAGAACTAAGATCGACTAAAAACTTGTACGAGTGACTTCTTCACAAACGGTACCTCCACTAAGTATTGGTTTTGTTAAAGCAAGTTCCACGTCATCTAAGTTGACTATTGCCACATCTTCAACGTCTGGAAAGACAAACCTTCCAAGTTTGTGTCTCAAATAAGAGACTGTCAATTCAATATTACTCTTTTTTTTTGTATTTGCGCAACATAATATTTCATAGTTTTTTAGTCGCAAATTTTACTAAAATGAAATCCTTGTTTTTTTAAATATTTTGTTTCAACTAATGCAAAGGAACCGATTCTTAATTTATTTTTTTTTTTTGTTTCATGCTCTCTACAGTCTGTCAAATTTTTCTCTACGTTTTGTTTCGCTTCTCTTTTTACACGCATTTCTTTTTTTATTTTTCTAGTTTCTTCTTCCTCCGAAATTCTGTCTCTAATAGGGGTAGTAGTAAGAACCTCAGATACTGCCTTTTTCCTTCCTTTTCTTTTAGTCTGAAACGCTATTACGTTTGGGAACGGTTTTACAGTTTCAGGAGTTACAAAAGGTACTGAAGGAGTTACACATCTTTCATTAGCAGTCATCCCTGAGCCACTTGGCTGATCATTTGATTTTTCTAATACTTCACAAGGAGCAACCTGAGATTCCTTAGAAATTTCCGCAATATTTTTTACAGAAGAGCAACTAGGTTTTGCATTTAAATTATCTGATTGTAATTTGGGATTTAGATAAGTGACTGATGCCGCCAAAAAATCAGCTTCGTCAAATTTATGTTTATTAAAAGGATTTATACCAGTTGAAAAGGCCAATGGGTTTGTTTTTAAATATTCACATAAATTTTCTTGTTCACTTTCTGTGAACATTTGACGGACCGTGTAATGTGGAGAAAGTTTTGGAAGATCTTCTAAAGTCACGTGGTCCCAGTCTATATTTAAATTTCTGCATTTAGCTACATATTGTGCTTCAATATGCTTCTTGGGATAGCAAAAGTAAGACTTGCCCTTTTCAAACTGTAACCCCCCTCTGCAACTACGCCAGCAAACATTGTTTGTGGTTTAACAAGGCCAATATTACTTTTTCGTTTTCGGTTACGGACCATTTTCTAAAAGAAAAACATCTGTATCAGTAATGGAGTGTATACTATTAATATATATGTAAATAAAGCAGTGACCACTGCACCCTTTGTTTATGGCGACCACTGTACCCCGTGTGCCTTTTAAATGTTTTTAACTCATACGTAGAAAAACCGTCATTTGTTTTGCTTACGTACACAGATATATCCTGTACGTGACATAAATATAAACATTTTAAATAGTAATGAGATGCAGGAAATAAAACAAGAATTCTTACCATAAAATACTTTACTTGCACACTTCACAATTTTTAAACTGGCTATCACTCAAAACTATTTAACTGACTGAATCAAAATTACAACAGTACATCGAGGAAAGCATTTGTCACGTTATACTCGACGGCTGTCGAATTACTCCGACGTAAGTTTAAATAAAGTGTGTTCACTGTGCCCCCGTGTCCACTGTGCCCCGCTCTCCCCTATAAAGTATTGCCTAAAAGAAGGTAGACTTACTTCTTCTTAAAGAAGCACATGAGTTTAGAGTATTACTGTTATCCTTGACATTTTGAACCCATTAAAAAAGTTTCTTCGATAAATAAAAGAACATGAACAATCTTTCAGGGATTGTTTTTTTTTACTTTTGCTGTTTTTTGTCAAAAAAACTCTAAAAATAAAATAAATAGTGTAAAAAAGTAGAAAATCTTTTCTATTGCTATGATACACTAGAAGATATGGTTTATGTATTTTTAAGAGTTGCAGTAGCTCATTCGGATATCCAATCTAATTTTTTATAGAAGCTGCCCTTGCTTATACCAAAATGTAGGAGACATCCACCATCTAGTAAGTCCATACTTTTCATTCATTTATAGTTTTTTAGTTATCGACAATATTCCAAACATTCTCATACAATTTAAAATCCTTCCATAGTTTTGACAGCACGTTTTATCTCCATTTTTTACACCTACAGTTTAATTTAAAACTGTTTAAAATGCTCCCGAAAATGATGAATGTGCCTGTTTGTCCTTTGTACAATGGAATAGCGCCTAAAATCCAATTATGCCGCGTACACTTCACACACACACGGCCAAGCACTATTTGCTTGATGAAAACAGGAAAATTCGTTTTCTGGAATTAGACATTAGAGTTCTATTTGATCTAACCAAGCTATATACAAATTCCACGTTCGGTGTGTAACCTGACAATGACACGTATGTCATGTTACAACATTACTTATAGGTACTCTTCTAACATAAATAACTAGATTTAGAATTGAAAACGTGCGGAAATAAGGTATCTAAACTGTGTCGTCACGATTGTTGCAATAAAATAAGGATTATACAGGGCGAGTCGGGAGGAGCGCACCAAACTCTAGGAGTATATTATACACGTGAAAATAATGTAAAAAAACTCATATGTTCTTATCCTATTTTAGCATATTAACAAATAAACAAGTTTACACATAAAAATTCTCTAAATCATAGCATATTCTAAATTTGAATAAGTATCTGGCATTTTGCAACACTAACAATCACATAAATTCGAAATTAAACGTTCAGTTACTGTTCACTGTACACTGACAGTTCATCAAAACGTCAGAATTATCAAATGCCTTTGAGCCTTAAACATATGGCATACTTTGATAATGTTAAAATTCAGAAGTGGAAAGCTAGATGAACATTTTTAATTACGCCATAACTTGAAAACAAATGAAAATCGGATAAGAACATATAAGTTTTTTACATTATTTTCACGTGTACTCCTAGAGTTTGGTGCGCTCCTCCCGACTCACCCTGTATATCTCGTTTAATTTTGAAATTTATTCGCCTTGCGTAGGTATAAAACTTAAAAAAAAAGACACTAAAACATCATTATACTTACTTCGTTTCGAGGACAATGACGAGTATTTAATTACTTTAAATGCCACTTTTAGGTTCGCTATTAAATTTTTTTTTTAAATTACAAAAACCTTACAAAAAGCCGAACTTTATTTTATGACTTTATTGTACACAAGTTAAAATGTTAAAGCTAGAAAATGCCGGCAACGAACTAGTTTTGTTGCCGCTAGAGGAGAATCCGGGGCAGTGTTGCCAGGTATACCATTTTTATGGTATTTATACCATTTTTTCTACTACGATACCTGCAAGTTTTTGAGGATACCATTTTCCATTTTTTTACCATTTTTTAGGTACTGATACCATTTTACTACCATATTTTTAACTTTTTGATTTTCATTTCATTCATTATATCTCTACTCTACTAACAAGTAACAAGAATGGTCTTACATCTCTACTAAAATACGCCCAATAATAGACGATTACAAAAATGTATCTTTTATCGGGGAATTCAAAAATGAAAAGAAAAATATGTGGTTTATTTAAAAAAATATCGATGACGTTGTAGCGAAAGATGTGCAGTTGAAAATAAAAAAAATTGACAAGTGAGAGGATTTTATTAAAATACTTCCTATGAGACAGAAAATTATCGAATTTATTCCGACCTATACGCCCTCGTTGTATAATTAATATATGTTCCTATAGATTACAGATTACAGTTATAAATTACTAAAAGATTTGTACATACAATTTTATTATTACAGTTCAGCAAGATTATAATGACCCTACCGTCTGTTCTCTTATCTCGGCTCTTATAATACTTTGTTAATTAAATCATAGTTTAAAATAAAAAAATTATACTTTTGATTTTTATTTGTGTAAAACTTTATTATTTGGTATTATCAAGATTATTCAAGATACCATTTTTTGTTAGTAAAATACCATTTTTTTAAGTGTCGGATACCATATATTTCTTTTTTCATCTGGCAACGCTGATCCGGGGGCTGGACTCTGGATTGTCTTCCTTGGAACTCTTCTTCGATGAATTCTTCCTATATTTTCTATATGAATAAATGCAAAATAACAAACAAAATGTAATAAAAATATAAATCAATATAGTCCAAACACTAATATTGTTGAAATGGACTGGATTTTTAAAAATATGTTTTACTTTTTGTTTTTGAAAATTTAGAGAGTCGTTTAGAGTGGTTAATTGTTAGAAATCAATACTGTTCAATTTAATAGGTTTAATGTAAATAGGATTTTTATCGTTTTTAATATTAACTTTAGGAAGTTCTATTATTTTAAATTCACTTTTTGGCAGTTCGTTACTACGTAGAACTATTTTACCTATTCTAACACTACACTTATTGATTAATTCTAACAAAAATGTTCCTTCTAATGGGACATTGTCATTGTCTTGTCCGCAGATTCTTTGGGCCACTGTGTTCTGAGGTGAGATGATCATCCATTTATTTTGACGAATTTTTTGAATTTTTATGTCCACAATGTCGAGAGGGATGGTTAGGCAGTTGGTGAGGTTCTTGAAAAACCTCAACAATGAAACTTCACAGGGGACGTCTTCTTCTACTGGAGTTGGTACTGATTCATGACAGATTGGTTACTAATTTCTTGACATTCTGAGTCAAATGACATACAATTTTGCTCGTTTAGGATGAGGAATTTCGAATTTGGAATAATTATTGGGAAAAGATTGCTTTCATGAGTAGGTAAAGGAAAAAGTTGTTATAAATCGTAATTTTCTCTTTCCACAATTGGGATTTCTATGATAATTTTATTTTTTTTACTCTAAGTTCTAAGTTGCATTATTTTTTCGAATTTAAGTATATTGTTTAAAATTGGTTCAAATGGTAATTTGTTGTTTAATAAATTGTTATGATCAAATCTTTAGGATCTACTATCGATTTATGTAAAACATTTATTTTGGAAAATGTGATAGCAGTTTCAATTTTTTCTAGTAAATCATAAATATTTTGATATAAAATTGATATCTGATTTGACTTCTTGAATATAGACACTTTCAAAAGTTTGTTTATTTTGGATTTAAGCGGTCTCTAAAATGTGTTCTATTTTATTTATTTAAGATTTTAATTTTAGTTGATTGTGAGCTAAGACTTGACTACTTTTATTAAATATTTTCAACTAAGGTAATTTGTTCATTAATTAAAGATTTCATCTTATTTTGATTTTTCCAAAGATTTTCTATGGCTTTGTCATATTTTTCGGCGTCGTTTTGACCTAAATTTCCTGATATTGATTTAATTATTGTATCTAAACCATTAAGAATGCGACGGCTTCAACATCTAAGGTCATTAGCCTAGTGTTCTATGTAGGTTATGGATTGTATTAGTAGTCTAATACTCCATAGTGCAGGAGTATTAGTACTCTAATACTCCTACACCCCTACAGACAGGCCTTGTTACTGTTTCCTTGCGCCACTTTAGGAACAGCACTGTTAATTAGAACCCAACAGTGAATGGTCGAGTGGGGAATCCTACCAAGGCATCAGAATTAATTTTAAATAGTTTAATTGATTAATTTGGGTAATAATTTTATTTAATAATATGGTTACCATTTGAAATGTAACAAAGATATCCTCAGAATCTGATTTGGTCTGGTTTATAAGTTTATTTCTTGTTTCGTTTGTAGGTAGGAAAATTTGTCTTGTAGTGACTTAAATTCGTCTATTATTTACTTTGGAAATGTCGAAAATTCTTACAAATGATCAGTTTTGAGTCTTTCCTAATTTAAGAGTTAAAAGACCAGGATTGTCGGTAATATTATGGAATGTTGGTTGAGTCAGTTTGCAGTTTGTGAAGTTGATGGTTGCGAGAACCTGTAACGAAAGGTTTTTTAAGTTCTTTAATGTGAATTATTTCTGGTTTATTATTTTGTTGATTAGTAATTTCTGCTCTGTAATTTTGTTAATGTATAAGGA